AGCTTCGGGTCCCGCGCCTACGTCACAGTGACCGAGTGAAGCCGGCCACAGTCGAGCGTGTGCCTGCTGTACTACCATATGTCAGAGGTGTCACAGACAAGATTGGCTTTATCTTGAAGCGAGCTTCTATTAGAACATTCTACAAGCCGCCGAAGAAGATTAGTCAGTTCCTACCATCCGTCAAGTGTCATATTCCTCTACAAGATGCAGGAGTGTACAAGCTTGATTGTGAATGTGGTCTCTCTTATATAGGACAAACCAAAAGATCAATTAGGACCCGCGTAAAAGAACATATAGCTGATGTGAAGCATCAACGTTCCGGGAAGTCTGCAGTTTGTGATCATATCCTAGACGGCCCCAACCATTACATCAGATTTGATAGACCACAAATCCTCGCGAAAGAACACCGATTCCTACCAAGGATGATACGTGAGGCTATTGAAATTAAAAAACATCCTAATTTCAATAGAGAAGGAGGCTGGGTACTACCACCTGCTTGGGATCCTATAATTAATAAAATTAAAACTAAACCCAAGCATACCACTGCAAGACCTCAGGCCATAGTCAGTTCATTTTGCATAGATCGGACCATAAACAATAATTAAAAAGCTGAAGGTACTCCGGGTTTAACAATGACATCGGGACGTCAGTCATCTCAGTCCCCCGTGACCATGGGTGCTGGAAAGCGCCCGAAACGTCGGGAATTAAAAATAAAAAGGAAAAATAAACGCGATAAAATCCGTAAAAGTAGTTTTAATATATCATAGGCATTATTAGGGTCGTCAGTATTGTAAACGTCTGAAAATGATAATTGTTGGAGATATTTATTGAATTTATTTATATTATCGTTGGACGTGTCTCTTATTGTTTTCCACCAAAATTTTATTTGTCGTAATTTATTAGCTTTTATTTTTAGAATCTGAGCTGTGTGGTCTGATAAGGCTAAGTCTATTATTTGGCACTTGCACTTTTGTTTCAAGTTATGAGCACAATTGTATAAGCAGGTATTGCTGTCCTGTCTTGTAGGTTGGTTAATTTCCAATTTAAGGTTGTAGCTCAAAAGAAAGCATTCAAATTCTGTTGCTAATCTGTTCCTTTTCAGAATGTCTATATTAAAATCACCACATATTATTATATAACTTTTTTGTTATTACATATTTTTTTTAAAATAGAGTCTAAAATTTCGTAAAATTTGTCTATATTACATATTTTTGGAGGTCTATAAATACATAAAATTATCGTGTTTTGTTTTATTAATTTTATAGCACAACATTCAATATATCCTGTTATAGAGTATTTCATGATGTCTGGTAATTCTGTGTATCAAGACATTATTTTATCAAGATGCAGGCTCCTCCTCGTTTTACATTTGTTCTTGAATAGCATGTTGCTAGCTTGTAATTGGATATTTGAATTAATTATTCATGGCCAGACATTATGAAATGCTCGGTAATACACAATACATCTATATCTATATGTTTGTTTAAATAATTCCTGAATATGAACAGTTAATACATCAGATTTATTTAGAAAGCCAGCAGTATGTTGGTGCATGAGATACCTACATATGATTACAATAGAAAAAATTTGAATTTAAGTCTGTGGGGATAGTTTCTTTATTGACATTAATTTTAGTCTCTGGATATATTTCTAGACCTAAGTTAGGGTTACTTATCATTATTAGTAGGTTACGCATGACATTCATCAATCCATAGTTATTTAATCTCCCACTACATTTAGAAAACATACTATAATCGTAGAATAGATTAAGATTAGAATCTAATAGCTTTACGTAGTTAAACGTGTTGAGATATAGGTACAACAAATTATTAAAAGTTTCTATCCTCCAATTAAACATAGCGGAATAATTGTTACATTTGTATGTTGGAAGGCACAGGATAATATTAGTATGCTGAATATTTTGTAGAGTATTCCTCATTTCTTTGATGATATCAAAGTAATTATTTGTTTTTCAAAAGTCTTCTTCTCCTATAAAAATTACCCAGTAGTCGTTTTTCGTATAATTTACTATTTTTTATTCAAATTGCTAATTAGATGTAAAATTCCACAATTCGGGAAAATGTAGTGGCATATCTCGGTATTCAAAAACGTATCCTCAGCGATAGATAATACCTTGTTTGTTTTATTGGCACTTATAATACATATTTTTTTCCTGACAGGTTTTAATTTGATGCTTGTTGAGTCGCTTAATTGGACTATATTATCTTGTTGTGTGATCGTAGGGTCAGTCATAGGTTTTTGACTTATAAGCGTACTACGAGTTATGTTAAGCCTGTTCTGTGTCTTTTTGGTGGAGTGGATATTTTCAAACTTTTTTTAGGAGTATTCACATCATTCGTTAATTTTTGGTGGCTTTTTTAGAACTTCATGTTTCGATGCTAAACGGCTGAACGGCTTTTTTTAGCTCGTGATTTTCTATGGACAAATTATTTATTTCTTCATGAGCTGAATTTAGTTGCAAGGTTAGGTGTGCTATGTGTTCTTTAAGTTTTTGAATTTGAATGCTATTTTCATCACCTGATAAGTTCGGTAAACTACATGTAGTGCCATCTAGTTTCGAATCATCCGAACTACTTTCACCACAAGTAAGATCTTCTGACATAGATTGAGTGCGTGTGTTTCGAAATGTAATGTTATCGAAGAAACTCATATTGCAATTTGAAATTAATAAGTTTAAGGCCGAATACGACGCGAATGACCTTGCTCGTTTCGCAGCAAACCACGCGCCGCCCGTACGCTTTGTTTATATAGACATGTATAATATAATCAAAGCCATACGGGCTTTGATTATATTATATTTGACTGAGCTAGCTCAGTATGCAGAGTAATGAACAACACAGAGAGCATTGCTGACTTCTTAAATAAATCTTTCTTATTTATAATATTAGTTCCTATAGATTATAAATTCTGTACTTTATTCGTTATAAAATATTGTTCGAAAAGTTATTGAATTGATAACGGTTTTTTTTCTTAATTCGTTCATCGTACGTAAAGAACATTAAAAAAAACATAAACATTCATGCCTGTCACCCAGAGGGGTAGGCAGAGACTACAGACTTCCATTTGGCACGATCCTGACACACCTCTCTCGCCTCCTTCACATCCATACACCTACGCATACATGCTCGTCGGTTAAGGGTACTCCTAATTTGGCCCGTTTTTAATAAATCGCCAATTTGGTCGATAAATTTTCGCCTAAGACGTCCCTTTCCGACTCTGCCATTCGCTTCTGCAACATAAATTTTCCTTGTCACTCTTTCCTCATTAATTCTTTCCACATGACCAAACCACCGAAGTATTCCTTTCTTAATCCTGGTCACAACATCATCTTGCAAACCACACTCTTCTCTTCTTAGAGAACCTCATATAACTGAAAATGTTTGTTCTTGTGAGTCTTACAAGATGCCGTAATGCAAATTGCATAAATAATAAAGAAAAAAAACTAAAAAGTCGGTGATAGCCCCATAGTGGGGATAGGTACTGTGTATGTAAATTCTCACAAGACTACTCCGACTGGTCAATCACTTCACATCCGAAGTATTTCGGTTTTTCTTAATTATGTACTTACCCCATGCTTTCGGACAATACATTGACTATGACATTATTTGCGGTCTCTGTGCTTGCACTACTCTGTACATTCTTTTCCGACTGGGTCTTGATATTTACATTTTTAGTGTTTAATTAAATTTTAAAACTGCGGTCACCTTGTGAAGAAACCGAACAAACCTACAAATAATGTTTTAACGCTTAGAATTACTTCAGGTTAAAGTTGTAGTGAAGAGAAATACATTAAATTTCGTCAGTTCTCTTCGTATTCGGCCTCAAAACTAGGAAAAAGAATAGTATTGACGAGATTCGATCGTGGTTCACGTAGATATCACTCCGAGTTGGTAAACCGCTGGGCTATTAGTATCATCGGCGAAATTAGACTTCGGTTACCAGTGGCTTACAATTTTTTTAAATCGGATATGAAGTTGGTTTTGGTGAATAATTTTATATCGTCCGTTAACACTGGATTTAATCACAATTATTTACTACTTACAAATACATGACTTTTACTTCGCAGGAAAAGAAGAAAAAGCCCTGAATTAACACAAAATCGTCGCTTTTATAAACTGTATTTACACTTTTTGTTGCACAGTTTGTAACTTTATAATTAATCCATTTATACACACTATTAGAATGTCACATAACATTTGAGTTCCTCTTTCACTAATAAACTTATTAGAACGCTTAATTACTTCTTATAACTATTTTTAAAATGAATTTAATAGGGAGCTATTGTTGTTCGCGGCGATCCGCGGGTACCCTCTTCTTTATACTAATATATGATAGCGAATATTTTTAAAACTGTGAAGATTCACGATAAGGTATTAATTGTTCTGTATTGTGGAGGTAGTTTATGTACAAAATTTGATAAGAAAAATATTCAGACATGGAATAATTATTTGTAGATCATACAAATATTTGTTCCGGGTGGTGTTCGAGCCAGTGGCCCTCAGCGTTGTAACTAATTTTTAAATCACTGTGCTATGAAGCCGCCAACATTTGTTTAGTATATTTGTTTGATTGCCTCGTTGGTTTAGTGGTTGTAAACGCGGCTTTGAACTTGGGCTCGGACCACGATAAGTTATTGGTGTCAGTAAGTTGGTGGTGTTTCACCCCTGTGCTTCGGATAGCACGTAAAATCCTTGTGTTTTACGTGTGATCTCTTTTCGGTTCTGTTGGATTATCCGTCTTATCGGACTATGAGAGTGAGGAAATAGAGAGTGAACTGATGCTTGCACATTTTCTCGGGTAGTATAGTCCTGTCGGGCGTTGATGGCTGTTTTTCATCGAGATGGGCTGATGTGATGGAAATTCGGCTATGTAAGTGTGTATGGAGTGGTCGCTGGGCGTGTGTGAAGTAATCGCTGAGCGTGTGTGGAGTGGTCGCTGAGCGTGTGCGGAGTAGTCGCTGATCGTGTGCGCGTGCGCAGGGTGGTGCACTTCGGCGGGCCCGTGGTGTACAGCGCGCGCGGCATCGTGCAGAAGAACCGCGACGCGCTGTGCCGGCGCTGCGCGGCCGTGCTCGCGGGCGCGCGCGAGCCGCTGCTGGCGGCGCTGTTCGCGGGCGCAGGGCTGGCGGCGGGCGGCTCCCCGCGCCGGCCCTGTGCGCTGGCGTGCCGTCAGCGCGCGCTGGTGGGCGCGCTGGTGCGGCGGCTGCCGGCGGCGCCGCGCCTGGTGCGCTGCTTGCGTGCTGACGCCGCGCTGCGCCCGCACCGTTTCGACGCCTCGCTGCTGCGCCACCAGATCCGCACGCAGGGGTAGCCTACACCTATCTTTGTATGCTTCTCATGCTCGCAACACGCACTTATATATCTTACACGCTACATATTTTAAAATAAGTGATAATCAAAAAACTTATAAAGTATCATCATTATTTTTCCACATCATTACAGCCCTTCACAAGTCCACTGCGGAGCATAAGCCTCCCCCAAGGAACGCCACAGAGCACCATCCTGACACACCTGCATTAGTAAACTTCCTGCATGTCTAACCAAGTCATCACTTCATCTAGTAGGGCGACGCTCTAGACCTCCGATACGAGCCTGCCACTCGAGATCCTTTCTTCCCCACCAGTTGGCAGTTCTTCCAACTATATAGCCGGCCCATTGCCACTTCAGCTTACTTATCTGTCGCACTGTCGGTTACCCTGGTTCTACTACGGATATTCTCGTTTTTAAATCTATCACGCAGAAAAACTCCGAGTATAACCTTCACCATAGCTCGCTGAGAAACTTTGAGCTACCTCATACGGCCGGCAGAGAAAGACCACGTCTCACATCCATAATTCATCACTGACAACACGTACTTGTTGTACAATTTAACTTTAAGATTTTCAAGTATGCCTGACGAAAAGACACGTCGTAATCTCCCGAATGCTGTCCAGCCAAATTGAATCAGCCCATTGACCTCTCAATCGAAGCTGGACTTACCTAGTCGGACTTTTTGTTCCTGATAAACATACTCGTCAATAATTTCGAGCTTAGTGCTCCCAACAACTACCGGCATATGTTTGATATGGACATTACACATGACATTCACAGATCTTGACGCTCCTATTGCTGCTACTCGATAGTAGATGGCGCTGGTGCCATATACCAGGCATCAACTATGGCGCGCAACAGTACTCATTTGTGACGAATGATAAATTTAGCAGTAGAAATAAATCCTATATTTTAAAATTTTGAACATAAAAATACCTAAAGTTACAAATTACCTACATATAAGTTTAAAAGCGATTGCGAAACAAGTGTTACTTAAAAAAAAAACGTTAAACACACAATTAACCTTAATGCACATCATGATGTCCTACACATGAACTACCTGCTTCGTAACTGGCGAAAAGCACAGTTTAGACTTTGCTCGTTTGGTTAGGTTTTATTTGCGTCTTACAGTAACAATTCGAGTTACTCCATTCTTTTCAGTGGGTATCTCCTCTAGCATTCCATATTGTTTCAAAAGATTCTAATCGGCTTATAAAGTATTCTTTTGTAATACGATCATCCGATTTTTTAAATTAACTTACGCTTTAGATATTCTGTTAGGTGAGCCGAATCATTTTGAAAATTAATGATTACATTTTAATTAAAAAAACGTGACGTCGTCACGTTGACCTCATAGTTCCTCTGCTTCCTCCGCTCCCCGCAGACTCCTGGTGACATCAGATCGTTGAAGTTCACCTATCGGGCTCGTGACGTCGGCACGTTGACTGTGCCGGACGGGCGAAACTCTTCGGAGTAAATGTTGTCGAAGATATTTCGCGAATCGCTCACGTCCTACACCTATAGGTTCCGGTGGGTACTTCCATTGCCGTCTTTGTGGGTGCCGCTGAGATATTGTAGACTGTGGTTCAAATCAAAATGCACGATTAAAAAATACAAATAGCATGGTAGTGGCCAGCGGTTCGACTGATTGATTAGTCGCGAAATTTTATAACTATTGTTTATTGACCACGGTTGTTCAACTACGGTTATTCACTATTGGTTGGTCACTGTATATTTCAAAAGATTTCTTTAAATTGTACGGTGGTATCAAATACCTATTGGTAGTGGCTGGTTTTCTAACGCTACTTACTAGCAGCTATTATTAACTAAACTAGCTGATTTTATCACTTGTGTAACTGCGGATATCAGTTACCACTTTCACTATATGTAACTGCGAATGTCAGTTACGACCTTTTTCGGCTAGCTAACACTTTCACTATTCACTATATACTGCTACTAGTCACTTCAGCTACTACCGGATACCACTGCTTGTCACTGGTAGTTCTTCACACTACTACTGGTACTGGGTCCCCGAGCCCCTAAGGTAGACTTTGGCTGTACCTTACAGTGAGCCGCTTGCCATTTTCCGTTTTGCCTCTTTATTGCATAAATTTTTCACTGTGCAAATGGCATAAATTACAATATTTTCTATACAAAACTAATTACTACACTAACATGCTATACATCATCAAACCGGTAGTCTGGTACTTTATTAGTATATCATAAAGGTTAATCAAAACATTAACATTGTAAAAAGTTATTAAACGAAATGTCCCAAATTTTCATAATATTTGGGTACATGAATTCTTTGATTTTTCTATAACTACCAAATGAGTTTAATTATACAAAACATTCCTACACTTCCTTAATCTATAAGCCTTATGCTAATTCAATGTCATATTTACAACTCTTTTAGAACGTAAAATTATTCTCATTATTTTCACTATGAACTATTACGCAGTTAATTAAAAACTTCTAGAGTTCTACGATACGACGCGCTGCGATTGGTCGATTTTTCTTAATACAATAAAAGTAGTTTACATCACTTGCTATCAAAACGACATTCTATACAAATATACTAAGAGCTATAAACATGCTACACAACTATATTTTTTTCACACGTTTTCACCCAGTTTTATCGGTAATTTCACTATTAATACAAAAAACAATATTCTTTATCACTTTGTTTCTTAGCGTTGTTAGGTCGTCGCGAACATTGACCTTACGGCCCCTCACATTTTTCTTCTCCCCACGGCCTCCTGGTGACTTCGGTACGTTGACGTCCTCCTATCTTCTGACTCTCAGCTTCCCCCGCTCTCCGCAACCTTTTGGTGATGTCGGCACGGTATCGTCCTCTTCCTCCGCTCCCCGCGGTCTCCTGTCTTCGGGCTCGTGATGGCGGTACGTTGACCTTACTGCCCCTCAGCTTCCTCCGCTCCCCGCGGTCTCCTGTCTTCGGGTTCATAACGTCAGCTCGGTAACCCCACGGCCTCTCTGCTTCATCCCCTCCTCATGGCCTGTCCGGCTCGATGGACCATGTTTAAACCTGGGCAAAGGGGTGGTGTGTGGTGTGGTGGATGTAATGAGATCACAAGTATACTGTATATAGTGTATTTTTTTACCAAAGCTTGAATCACACTAGGGATCCACACAAATTACAAATTATTCCACGGCTCTTTGGCAAACCGTGTGCACCCAATACTACCGCGATACTAACAAATTTGAACGTTATGTGTTTGCGATGACGCAAACTAAATTAAGTCGAACATACCTTACACCTAAATATTTAATAAAAACGTATTAACTAAAGTGCTGGTATAATTACAGCTACATAATGACGCTAAAAAGCTAGTTTAAAATTAAGAGGCGTAAAAGTAATCTTAAATTAATAGATAAATATTAAGTGATCATTGTGGTTTGGTAAGTGTGACGGTGAGCGCGGTGTGTTGCAGTATAATGGAGATGGCGCTGCTGCGGCGCGCGGGCTGGTGCGAGTCCGCGTGCGCGCGCAGCGTGCTGGCGCGCTACTCGCTGCTGGCGCCCGCCGCCCGCGCGCCCCCGCGCGCCGCGCTCCCCCGGCGCCCCCCGCGCGCCCCGCACACCCCGCGACACGGCGGACTCCTCGCCGGTGCGCTGCGCGCGCGCGCTGCTGCGCTCGCTGCCCATCCCCAGCGCAGAGTTCGCGTACGGCCGCACGCGCGTCTTCATACGCAGCCCTCGCACGGTCGGGCCTATAATTTTTTTTTAATAAGTATGACAGAAGAACACGCAGCTCACTTGATGGTAAGCGGATAATTGGCTCATAGACATCTATCCTCAATTAAGAATCAATATGCAGATGCCAGACTGAGGACTACGATGGAATGCCTTGTGTCTAGTAAAAAGGATCTCTTGTTCAATACACTCAGTCAACGAAACACAACAGCATTGAGGTGCTATGTCACGTTGGTGCTCTGGGCGAGCGCGGTCCTTTCGCGGTCGAGCTAACCCATTCGTGGTACAACTTTTATATAGTTGCAGTAGAGAACTATGTATGTACAGTGCTATTTATTTAAATATTGACCCAACTTACCTTCAATAGTTCGACTACTTGGCTGCACATGAATATAGTAGGAAAGAGTATGAGACCCTACAGACCCTAAATTTCCTATACCTAGCAGTCCCTATAATACCCTAGCCTGACCATATAAATATACATACACTAATATAAGTCCGGGATGTCTGCACCATCAGGCCTGAGGTGACAGACGGACAGAGACTGCATGTCAAGATAACGTGATGGAGTTCTTTCAAGTCAAGCAGACTCACAAGACTGATCGGGGTTTCTGACGGCTGAAGGTGTCTTAGCCGCAGTGAGAGCGAGACCTTGCCAGGAGTCTCCGCGATAGTAATGAAGTCGTCGTCTAGCGTTAAAAGAGAGTTTTATTTACAAATCGTTACAATTTAAACATTTTAAAACACACACAAATTAACATTATACGCTAAAATTACTCAGAAACAAGTGTCATTGTGCGTGAGTTTTGGTAACCGGGTCCCTGGACTGCTGCGTTGCAGTGTCGAGAGCTGAGCACCAGTTCATTTAAATAGTTCGATGTCTCCTGCTGTTGACCCTAAAGCGCTACGGGGCATACCTTTATATTATTAAAATGGTGCACATCTCCTTAATTTCAATGTTCTGACCTAAAGTATATATATTTCTATAAAACCTTATTTTATTAATTACCTTAATTCCCATCTTCAACACAAGAAATATGAAACGTAAGTAATCTCACTCTGACAACACTGGGTCAGTGTCACTCAATAACGAAAAGTAATCGCACCGGCCACCGCTGCCCACTAACCAAACTGATTGAAAATAATAATCTCGGTTTGAACTCGAAGAAAATAATTATAAGTGTCGAGTTATTTTAAAATTGTGTGTGTGTTAGAGAGGAAAACCCGCTTGCATCGAAGTCTAAAAAAATGCAAGAAATTCCTGCCGACCTATGGAGGTATTCTATTACGCATTTTTCTTTACGCAAACGCATCATCCACGAAATTTTCTTTTTCCAATAGTTCCAGTACAATGACTAACTTCCATCAAGTAGGCTGGAACACGCAAAAGAAATCATCTTCTCAGCAGCTACATCTTAATAAATGAATAAAATTTATCGAAATAAGAAAGGTGGTATATTTTCCATTATCAGATAATAACAATAGTCTTGGGTGATTTCTTAGATTAAAATGTCTATAAATCACCCTAAGACTTATTGTTATTATTTATTATTAAATATATTGTCTATTGAATAGTGGTAGAGCTACCCAGAAGCCTTTGCTGTTGCACGTATTAGCCGGCTCAAATCGGGGTGGTACCACGACCTGACAGAAGATTTAAATCTGATAATACATTGGACTCCGCTAACCTATTTCTGTACTACCAACTCTCAGTCAAATTAACCGTCAAATGGTGAGTTCAGTCTGCCGATATTCTTCATATGTAAGAGCAGCTTGGCTACGAAAGCAGCGAACACATTATTTTTAAGTTAAAGTCATCGCATTAGAGTTTGACATTCATATCATTAAGCAATTTACAAAGGTCTGTCAGGTATGCGATACCATTCTTTGATTTGATGAGGTTGACGCGCAACTCTGTGTCTTTGTTTTCCAACACATTGTAAAATCGAGTTAGACAATTTCCTTTTGATAGCCAACGCACTTCTATACAGTTATTATTATAATAAAAACAATAAATAGTAGCTTAAACTCAATAATTTAGTGATTACAAGACAATAATTTAATAATAAATATAGATAAAACTAAAATAATATAATTTAAACAAAAAACTAATCGTAATTTTAATACAAAAATTCAGTATGATGACAAAGAAGTTCAAATAATAACAACAAGAAAGTTTCTTGGAGTTCACATTGATGAAAATCTGAAATGGCAAAGCCGTATTGAATTTGTATGCAAAAAAGTGTCTCAGTTATTTTATAACCTATATATGCTAGCAATAAAAGTTCATCTCCCCACGTTACTTATAACTGTTCATGGTTGTGTGACGTCCAGGCTTAGATATGCAATAATCTTTTGATGAAATGCCACTTACTGGGATAAAGTGTTTGAATGTCAAAAAAGGTGTATCCGTGCTATGTGTGTGCTGTAAGGATTATTTCACGAAATTAAAATTACTTACCGTACCATCACTGTACATATATTTGAAATAGATTTATTTATCAGACATGGTTGCGCGGAAAACGGGTACTCTCGCATTATGTTTATTTGATTGATATCTAGCCAGTGCCTCTCTCCATCCCATCCGCGTATTCCTTCCACACGCACTGAAAGGGGGGGGGGGAAGCTATGTTATGTGGCGTGATTTTGTCGTCAATGAGGAAGCGCGCCCTCGACCCAAATAGAAGTGAAGATGGCTGGCAAATAAAAGGACGTCAGCTGCCGTCGCTCGTCCTCTTGCATCGCACGTAAAGACCAACGCTAGTTGTGATTGCACCTCTGTGGCAGTCGGCCACAGAACAATCTAGAAGTAACTGCTTCGCATAGCGCAATTTCTAGTCGCGCACCGCCTCTTCCAACGCAGACGCAATACCAGGGGCATCTTCCTCGAGGCCGCTGAAGCAGAAGGAACCCCACTCCGCTAAGTGCTCCTTTTAAATTGCCTTGAGCTGTTCAAATTGTTTTATTTACTGTGGCCTCTTTCTCGTAACAGCTCAAGTTTAATTCCAGCGCAGGGCACTGGCTAGATGATAGATTAGGTAATAGCGAGTGCATTGCCCAAGACTGCCACGTGCCACATCAGCCATCTTGTTTAGTTACAGAGAACCACGCACACAGTCCACAACAGAATTGATCTCGCGTAACAAATGTTGGCCCGACCCGGGAATCGAGCCCGAGACCCCATCACTGCACCATTTTCTGGTTCTTCGACCCGGATTGAAATCGGGACAATTGGCCCCACCAAGGCAATATCCATCACTATTTAAACTGTAGATTTCGAGATTTCGCAATAGAAGCAGAGTATATGAGTGTATGAGAAAAGTGTTTTAACTACGGCTCCAAGTCCAAAGATATACAATAAGATCGCGAATAGCATCAAAGAGTGTAACGATATAAATATTTTCAAAAATATATTGTTCCACTTTCTAATTGAACATTCATTTTATTCTACTGATGAATTTTTGTCGAGCTTTCAGACTTGACTGTATTATATGACATATAATAAAATGTATTAATAATCTAATCTAACATGAATGATGAACAATTTAATGTATTATTATGAATATGTAATCTACGAGCTATCACAGACTGAGCTTTATTTGTAATTAATTAAGACCTTTTTGGTACCTGTAAATAACAAATAAACTATTTGATTTGATTTGAATAAAACTTCTATGTGAAAGATCAATCGGTTGAAATTTTCACCATTAGTCATACAAAGCTGAATAAAAGTAGGAAGAGGTAAGAAGAATGTAGGTGATAGAAAGAGTATAAGAGTGGTGTAATTTTTCTTATAAAACTTTTATTTTTAAAATGTTTCTTTTTTTTGTCACGATTTCTTAACCTTCACAATTATGTTTCATAAGTTGGTAAAGTGGACTCATCCATCTGAATAGAAAATTGACTAGTCTTCAGATGATTGCACAATGACTCTTACTTGTTTTCAGCCATTTCATCAATTCGGAACTATTGCTCAAAGAAATTTTTCGAATTATGTCTGCCGCCGGTTTATGGATCACAGTAGTTATAACTTCTTTTATTCGCGACAAAATCAGCGTTTCTCCAATTGTATGTGGTTTAAATGTTTGAGCAATTAACAAAGAGATATTGTATGAAGCTGGAAGTCCATCATCGTCTCGCTTAGCAGCCACCGAAAAAAGTTTTGATACACTTGGCTGAGCATTATGCTTCTTTTCCAGGTCTTGAAAATATGCTATATTTTTGTCCTATGTATTTGAATGCAATTTATTTAAATGATCTTGAAGTCTTGAAGGTTTCATCGTTTCGTTTGATAATGTTTTTGAACAAAGAAGGCACAAGGGCAAAGAAGAAATTGTCAAATATTCTATGAATCCATATTTAATATAGTCTGCACTATATTGCCGTCACTTCTTTTTTACGGCCGACATAGTTTTCTTTTTACAAATATTTAAATAAAGTGTTGAACTTAAATACTTGTTTATAGATTGCGCGGGAAACCGTTAATGAAAATATAAAAGTTATTACGAACTTTTATATAGGATTTAGATACAGCACTTCTATATAAGAAAGAGTAGTCGGCATGTGTTGTAAAGTGAGCGAGACAAGAGAGTGAGTAAGATGGTGGTGCGCAGGTGTGGGAGCTGGAAGCGCTGCGGGCGGCGCGCGTGCAGCAGCTGGTGGTGGCGGCGCAGCGCGCCTGGCGCCGCCACGCTGCGCGCCGCCGCCTGCGCGCACAGCGCACCATCGCACGAGCCTGGCGGGCGCACCGGGTGCGTGTATTGTGTCACTGTGTGCTCTAGCGTAGTGCAGCGTTGCGGTTCTTGCTGCTGATGACAGACCTGGGAGTTGAATCGCCTGTTTATATTACCAATTGATAACTTACTTAAATACACAATTTTCATTGTTTTCTTTATGATTATTGGTAAGACTATAATTACCCAAGGCATTGTTTACTGTACAGTGTGATTTAAATAAGAATAGGATCACCTTAATAATTTCGAATGACCGCGATTTGTCAACTCTCAATGGAAAAATAAGGTTTGAAAAGAAAATAAATTTTCCACTTTTATATTTATTTGACCGAGTCTTAGTTTCACTAAATTTATTGAAGTCAATTAGTTTTAAAAATAATTTTTAAACGGGTTTTTTTATTGTTGGTAATATTTTGCCAAAAAGTAAATTAATAAATGAGTATTTAGTACATACATATTAAAATAATAAAATCATAAATTGAATTAGTTATTGAATTGCTAGATTAAAACACATTTTTCACGGTTATTGATTTTAATTAATAGCTATGTTATCACAATATGGCGTCAGGTCAGTCCCATTTAATTGTTAATCATTTGATGATGTATTTTTATGTGCAGGCAAGGAGAGTACAACAGAAATCGAAGGGGTCGTTACTTGGGCGAGTTGACGTAAGTAGTGCGCGCGCACATTACCGTTTGACGGCGCGAATGTGCGTGCGGCGAGTGAGGGTGACGGGGTATGCGTGCGCAGGCGGGGCCGGCGGGCGCGGCGCGCGTGCTGTGGCGCGCGTGGTGTGCGTCGGCGCGGCGCCGCTACCTGCTGGGGCTGTGGGTGCGGCTGCCAGCGCGCCACCTGTCGCCGGCGTGCGGCGCGTGGCCGGCGTGCCCGGCGCCGCGCCTGCTGGGCCGCGCGGACGCCGCGCTGCGCCGCCTGCACCACCGCTGGCGCTGCCGCCTCTACCGCGCCGCCTTCGACCAGACGGCACGCAACCGCATGCGCGAGAAGGTCACCGCGAGTGTGCTCTTCAGGGATCGCAAGGTACACATATGTAACACTGTGACTCACTTCACTGCGCCGGATGTCTTAACTCACTTCTTTATAATGTGTTGAATTATATAACCCAGGAACAAGAAATTTGATAGGTCCTAAGATGTTGAGTTGCTGAGAGTTGAATTGAGAAGAATCTTATTTTATTTTATTATTATAAACTCCGTGAAATGTAAAAGGGGTAATAATGATAGTAAACTTTCTTTTCTATACCGTGTGTTACAAAACTACCCATAAAGCCGAAAGATGGTTAAATGGGGCCTTATAACAAGTCCATTCACAATATTTAACCGACCGAACCGTAGTAACGCTGAATAACATACCCCAAAAAAATAAAATAAAATATTATTTTCAATGATGTGAAAACCCTATTTCAGTAAAATTAAAGAGTAAACTACGCAGAATGTACCTACATTGCTACCTGATGCGCGGAACGACTAATTTTTTAAAAGACCTAACCTAACGAAACAACCTAAACGAACACTTACTTTTTCATAGCGTCAAATGTACAGAAACGGCTCCAAGTGTGGCTCGTCGGGGGTCGTGTGGCATTTCGCACTACGTCGGTGTTATTGATGCGAAAACCAATCTAACACGCTGTTCCATCTCGGCAACCGTTGGGCAATCGGAGAAATACATTCTGCCCTTCACATAACTTCACAAAAGATGTCCAAGGATGTGAGGTCCGGAAAATGAGCAGACCATAGCACCGGTCCTCCGCGGCCAATCCATCCTCGCGGAAAGCGAACGTTAAGATGTTCTCGTACGTTGCGCGTAAAATGCGCCGGAGCTCCATTATTCTGAAACACCATGTTTCTTTGGTTCTCAAAGTAATCCCAGTGAGCCACAGGAAAGTCGTTAATCGCCTCTTCGAATTCCGTTTGTAAAAATGTTAGATAGTTGCTACCATTCAGACGTGATGGTATAGTGACGGGACCGATGACATGCCCGTCATAAAGGTCAGCCCACACATTCAGCCGCCATTGGTGTTGGAATCTGCCCTGCCGTGAAGTAAGCGGATTCACGCGAGCCCAAACGTGATCGTTATGCATAATTGAAAGTCCTGACCTCGTGAATGTTGCCACGTTTGTCCAAAAAACATAGTTTACGTAATTAGGGTTTTCCTCTAACTGCCTGAGGTACCACTCGCAGAAGTTCCTCCTGGGTGCAAAATCGGAGGGTATCAGCTCCTGTGTACGGCGATTGTGATAAGGATGACGATTGTCGTCAATAAGAATTTGCCAAACTGCAACATGGTTTATACCGAATCTTGTACCGGCTCGCCTCCTACTTGTGGTCGGCTCCTCCACTAATGCTCTAACACTAATTCAGCCTGCCCGGCGTCGTCTGTGCTTGGACGTTCACTTCCAGTAGACCGATGACAAGAGCCGGTGGAATGTAATCGTCTTGACATGTTCAGAAAACACTGGTACGAAGGCAGCCGGCGCTGTTCAGTGGGGGGTCTACCATCGATAAATCGTTGCCGATACAGTTCGCGAGCACGATTTTTAAATTGCTATCTCCATGACCTACGCATAACATCATATCGTAATATTCCGAGTTAGAAAGCTTCGTTATTTTGCAAAAATTGTTGGAAAAAAAACGCGAAACAGTTGTAGAATAGTCGATTAGTAATAATCGATTAGAAGATTTGAAATTGACAACATATTTTTTTACAATTTACAGTACTTGAGTATATCCTTGTATTGAGGTAGCAAACATTTATGAATGAAAAATAGAAAAACTATTAAAGTAGACAATTGTTAGGTAAAATAGGTATGTAGGCCTTTCTGTTAAATAATCTGGCTCCCTGACATGACAGCTTACTAGGGTTGACAGGATTTTTGGCTTCGATAATTAATTATATTTTTACGGGATATTTTTTGACACATTGAATAAAACTAAATTTACGGATTCTATCGCGTTTATTTAACTGATTTTACTTATGTTTTAATTCCCTACGTTTCGGGTGCTTTACAGCACCCATGTTCACGGGGGGGGGCTGAGATGTTTGACGTCCCAATGTCATAGTTAGCCCGGCTACCTTCAGTTTTTGAATATTAATTTTTGGTCCGATTTACGCAAAACGAACTTACACTATCTTGAAGTCTTGCAGTGGTATGCTTGGTTTTGGATTTAATTTTGTTAATTATAGGATCCCAAGCAGATGGCAGCACCCAACCATGTTCTCTATTGAAATTAGGATGTTTTTTAATTTCAATAGCCTCACGTATCATCCTTGGCTTGGTAGGAATCGGTGTTCTTTTGCGAGGATTTGTGGTTTATCAAATCTAATGTAATGGAGGGGACGATCTTGAACATGATCACAGACTGCAGACTTCCCGGAGCGTCAGCTATACGTTCTTTCACGCGGGTTTTTATATATCTTTTTGTTTGACCTATGTAAAAGAGACCACATTCACAATACTAACTTGTACACTCCTGCATCTAGTAGAAGGATATTACACTTGACGGATGGTAAAAATTGACTAATCTTCTTCGGCTGCTTGTAGTATGTTTTAATGGAAGCTCGCTTCAAGATGTAGCCAATCTTGTCCGTGACTCCTCTGACATATGGTAGTAGAGCAGGCGCGCGCTCGACTGTGGCCGGCTTCTCTCGGTCACTGTGACGTAGGCGCGGGATTCGAAGCTTGTTGTCTTGCAACACTTGCTTGACATACTGAAGCTCGGCGGCCAGATGTTTTGTGTCACAGATCCCTCGTGCTCTCTGAAACAAAGATTTACCCACGGTAGCTAACTGTGAAGGATGATGGTGAGATTCATCATTTAAATATCGGTTGGTATGGGTCTTTTTTCTATACACAGAGTCGATATAATCCGTAAATTTAGTTTTATTCAATGTGTAGTGTTCGCGTAAATTTAAGAAATCATTATTTTGTAACACGTTATATATACAGAATTATTTTGAAATATATGCCCGAATTTGCAGAGGACATTCAGAACAAGTAATATAAAGGAATCGGTAAAAAAAAACTATAAATAATGGTACCGTTTCCGGTACTCGTAGCTTGAACATCACAGTGTCTGTCAGTGCTCCGAAAAATTAATTCATATAAATAGTTAAAGACACAGTTTATTACATTAACGCTTCAATACCCATAAAAATCCATGCAGTCGCATACGTCCGGCATATGCCCAGTGGTCGCATGCGACCGCACCCACTCACCGCACTTTAAACCATTAAAACTTATATTTAAAGACTACTTTTCTATGAAGAAGTTTAGCTTTATAAAATCTATACAAAATTCTCTATCCTGTGGTCTAAACGAAAGTCGGGATTTACATCATTACAAAAAGATTTTATTGTATTTTGATAACAAAAAAAAATTCGTACCAAGCGGATGTCGGCAGCGTGTATATATATTACTTGAATTTATTTACGTAAAAAATAAATTATATTCACACAAAAACTTTCATTACAATTTTATAATAAAACACTATACTAAAACACTAATAAAACCCAAGAAAAATCGAAAAAGCAACACAATGACATTTACAAGAAAATGGCGTACTAAATGAACGTAGATTATAAATAAATATCTATAAACTAACTGACTTTTTATTCCACTAGAGGATAGAAAATTTCATATTGATTCTATAATGCCAAACTTCTTCATAGAAAAGTAGTCTCTAAACATAAGTGTTGATGGGTTAAAGTGCTGTGGGTGGGTCGGTCACATTTGACGTCTTAAATTTTGACGGAATATCGAAGTGGTCAAATTTGGACGCTTGCCGTTTGAGAGGTTAATACCGCAACAAAACCAAAAACTAAGTGCGATAAAACGATTCACGCATTGAACATCGCGTTATATGGTGGATTCCCACGGAGAACTTAGAATAAATAAACAGGAAAAACACAGAGGTGGTTAGAACCATATTTCTATTACCAACTTGACAGCCGTCACATTAGACAGCTGACACATTGCTGCCAGCAGATTATTATTTATTAACTGGCTTTACGGCTCTGGGTTCTAGTTCTTCTGAGAGCTGCCAGCAGACTATCTGGACAGTCAACAGATAGCGCCACCTCAGTGTTACCATCATTAAATATAACTAAACACTTCTATTCGAAAAGATGAAGATAGAATTACAGAACCAAACAATTGAACTGACTAATACCATACTTGGAAAAATGGATGAAAAATTAAAACCCATCATAGAAGAAAACCAAAGATTGAAACTCAAAGTAGAAAAGCTGAAAAGGAAAGTGGAGTATTTAGAGAGAGACAGGAAAGGCAACAATATAATTATTCATGGATTAACAGAACAAGAGCAGTCGGCACTGGACCTAATCAAGTGCGTTAAAGATGTTTTTAGACGAACTAGGCATTACCATAGTGTACACGCCCTTAGTTGACGAGAGAAGAGTCGACGGGATCAGGGCCCATGAGTGGTCCCCTCGACGAGCAACCAAGGGTGGAGCCCAATGGATTATGGATAATTAAATTATAACAGCTAACAAAGAAGCAAGCACCACTTACCGATTGGTGGAGGTAGGGTTGACAACGGGGTACATGTCAGGTGATAAGTGAGGTGCATGTAAGTGGTGTGTAGTGATGTGTACAATGTGTAACTTGACATCCCCGCTGATCCTGGACTGCAGATCCTAAGGCGCTGCCTCTCTCCAAATGTGGGATCCATCCAGAGGGACGTTCACCAATTGAGAACTTCTACTTCTATTTTCACTATATTAATTTATCAACTTTATTGTATATTTAATTAACTTCGAATTCAACCAAATCAACGTTAATCGACATTAAAACAAGTGACACGCTGCACAAATTAAGGACGGTTGGTCAAAGTTCAAAGTCCCAGGTTCACTTAGCACAAAACTGCTAACTCTTCGATGCAATTAACGGCATAAAAGTTCCTTTAATCACTCCAAACTCCAAGTAGGCTCTTGTCACGTAACACGTTCCAACAGACAACTAAATTCGAGGCGGTCTTATTAGACCCCAAGGTCCAATAGTAATTCATAATGGCGGACACAATTAACACAGATTTAGGCCTTCAAACAAAACACCGGCCGCCCGCAACCGTATACCAGTCACAAACAATACTTAAAACGGTTACAACAATAATTCTATAATTCCTACCTCGTTATCACGAAACAAATTAAGATAACACTGTAAGGATCTCGCGACGTATAATCGATCCTGGCTTCGCGCAAATAAGCTCAATAATAAGCCTCGTTGTCACGTATATTAAAGACAAATACAACACAATAGAGGCGGTCCTTTCGACGCAAAATTATATCAAACTCGCGACCCCTAAATCGACCCGGGAGATTATGTAACGCCCGATGTTTAACTGGCACGGGCTCAGCGCCCAAAGGCTTCCTGCCGACTGCTGTGCTTGTTATGCGCGTACGACGCAGCAAGCCCCCGCCTCCCGCGCAACGTTTCCTCACCCCGCTCGAGATGCGCGATGGAAGTGTAACAATCGTGCGTGAACACCATAGAAAACAACGAAATAAATAAAATTTAAAAGGAGAAACCTAGGCCAACAGGGAAATTGATTAGCGGATGGAAGAAGGCTGAAATTCTGATTAGCAAAAAGAAATTAAAGGAACTTTACATAACACAGGATTTCGTGAGCTTCAGGAGCTCTTGACATCACCACGTTGACCTCATGACTCCCCTACAGAGTACAGAATTTCAGCCGATATCTCGGAAACAATGCACTTTAAGGCAAAATTTATACAAACCATTATTGTAGAAAATAAAATTTCGCATCTTTTGTCTCCGATTTATGGCCCATTTAATGAACCGGTTTTTCTATCGCGGCCAACAACTCTTGAAATATTAGATTAATCAATAAAATGCATAAATTTATTTTCAAAGATCTTTTTATTTTCCAAAACTTTTGTTTGAAACCTTTTTTTCTAATATCCATACTTTTTGGGTTATAGGACGTTTCATGTTTGACTACAGGGCGTTATAGTTGAAAATTTCAATATACGCATAGCAGCCGCGTCACCCGCCGAGCTCGGCCGACGCTCGGCTGGTGATGCGGCAGCTACTTTATGATTAAGAACCCGGATTATTTCGGGGAATTCCAAGTAAGACGTCATTATTGTTTACTAACTGCGACTTACGGAGTCTCCTATTTGAAATTCAAGTTATAGAGTATAAATATCTATTATCAATATTTCGTAGGGAAATAACATTTTGTTCGAGTTACAAAGTCTAATAATCCGAGATACTTCGTATTTAGGGGTTCAGCGGAAGGGAATGGCAATTTTTTTCGACTTACAGCGACGTACAGCGTGTCTTTCAGCAACTTAATATTACCAAGTTTTTAAGTTTATATATGAACTATATAATAATATAATTCTTTTAATATAGTTATTTTTAAATGCTATTTTTAAAAACTGCAATTTTGAGTGGCGCAGTGAAGTTATTGAGTTAACGCAATTAATTTGGTTGAGTTGTTAATGTTGAGGATAATGTCAGGCGACGTACGCGCGCAGCGTGGCGCACCCGTTCGTGGGCGACTACGTGCGGCTGCGTGCGTCAGCGGCGTGGCGGCGCGGCGCGGGCGCGGCGGGCGACCGCTACGTGGTGTTTGCGGACGCCGTAGGCAAGGTGGCGCGCTCCAGCGGCCGCACGGCGCGCTGCCTCTGCGTGCTCAGCACGGCCGCGCTGCTGCTGCTGGACGCGCGCTCGCTGCGCCTCAAGCGCCGCGTGCCCGCGCACTGCGTCTACCGCCTCTCGCTCTCGCCCTACCACGACGACCTGCTCGTCGTGCACGTGCGCGCGGTATGTGCCGTACAATTACTTCCATCTTTTACTTTGATTTTGGCCCTTCGAACCGTACCTATAAACCGCGACCAAGTTCCAAAATTCCAATGTAAAGTAAAGACAAATCTTTCTTTGATTAGTTGGTGTTTAGAAGGACGGTTCTTGACGTACTGCCGATTGTAAGTTTGCAATTAAATAAGTAAATTTAAATACACGCGACGCGCGGCTAAAAGTAGGTTGCAGCGTTTACTAAATAAAATGCGTGATGTAACCATACAAAATCTTTGATTTTGGGAAAATAAAGAAATCGCATGGTGCAACTTCTGGACTATACTAGTCACGACCTTCACTTTTTCAGAAACTAAAAATGAGTGTCCTGTTAGCGATGTGCGCATTGTCATGGTGTAATAGGATACAACTTCTTGGTCGTTTGCCGCTAGTTATTATTATTGAGATTCAAATATTTTATAATTGTTAATTGAAAACTCAACAGAATTATTTTAAAACTATCAGAAATCAACTTAAATATTACTTAAATTTTTAGGTATTTGTACTCAGGCATTATCGTAGAAACTAGTCTTTTTTACCTGACTCGTTAATAATTTTTTTTCTCATCAACTTTTTTTCGTTTTCAAAAAGTTTTTCGTCTAATCATAACCAGTATTTTAATTTAGTATTCACCAAAGTACACTTTCAGGTCACTCCATAAAGTCCTAGGCGTGTATATATTTATATATAAATACCTACGTACTTTTAGCGAAAAAATTATTTGTTATAAAAATCTGTGATTATAAAAATAATAATTATATCTTACCTTGTTCAAGTATGTATCGAATGTCGGCATAGCTGTATTGAAGTGTATACATGTCTTTATCTATGATGCCAGTTCCCTGCCATCTGATTTCTTGAAGTGCTATTAGATCGAGGATGTATTTCTTCAGTTCGCGGCCGACTTTGTTCTTTTTTCCAGTTTGTAGCATAGTTTTCACATTCCATGTACCGATTCGTAGGCTAAAGCGTTTTTCCTTAAGTCTGCCGAAGTCGTTGGGTTTTAAGCAATCTGGATTTATCTGTATTGAACTTTGGAACGTTTGAGTTTTTACCTTGTAGGGTTGTTGACCCTGCGTCATGTAGTGTTGACCATCCAGTAAAACCAGAAAAATCTGGAAAACACTCTTTATTTGAATTTAATTAATTTTTGCGTGCGCGTCTTTTCAAGCGTCCTTTTTTTCCTCTATCTTCCTTTTTTATCGTTCTCACTTACTCATTCACTATCATTCTTTTACTCATTCGTCATTCGCTCCGTTCCTTCCAGATCACTTCATTACACTGCGTTCCATCCCACAATCGGCCGTCCTGATCTCATGCCTCAGGCATCCATGCCGCTTTCACTCCTTAACATTCACAACATTACAAAAAAAAATTAACACTTAAAAACAAAATAAACAGTTGTCTTAGCAATAATAAACAAACCTATACAACATAGTCTTGTATTTTAATTAATGTTACGAGCTTAAGGTTCGTGACAATAAAAACTGCCGATTGAATTACCAAAATTTACACTTTTATTACCGAACACCAGTTAAAACTTAAAACACTAATAATTAATCACACTGATTCACTTTATTTCGCTACGAAGCTTCGCTTGTCTCGCCAAATTCAATACTGCCTCGATCGCGGTTTGCAGTTGCTTTATATAGGGCTCTTACACGAAAACATCCAGAATATTCCAGAATATTCAATTAAATACGCGCGCCAAGCGCTTTTCTGTTCGATACTAGATGGCGCTTTTAGTCGAAAGTCAAGATTGATATTTTCTAGGAAGCCCTCTTCGCTCTGGTCCCCTACGCTAGATGGCGCTAGTCGAGGGTGGATTGAAAAGTACTCGGCCTAACACATTATTTAGTTCAGTTCAGACTAGTTCATTGTGTGAAGTTCGAAACGTGTGCGATAATTAGTTGTGATTTTATAAATTTATTAACAAAGTAATCGGACATAATTTCCGTGAATGGAGCAAATCGAGCAGCGTGCCGTCATTAAGTACCTCCATAAGAAGGGGCTATCATCAAAAGCCATCCATGATGACATGGTCAGTACATTAGGCGATTGTGCTCTGTCATATTCATCCGTCAAAAAATGGATAGCAGAATTTAAGCGTGGTAGAGAGAGTGTGAAAGATGAACCCCGCTCTGGAAGGCCTTCGACGTCAACTACTGACGAAAATATTAAAAAAGTACTTGATTTAATAATGGGAGACCGCAGATTAAAAATTAGAGAGATAACGAGTTGGGTTTCCACAAGGTGTCTGCGAGGTGGGTTCCGCGACTGCTTTCAGTTGAACAAAAAAGGACGCGATTGACTATTTCACGCGACTGTTTGGAGTTATTTGAAGCCGATGCAGATGATTTTTTGAATCGTTTTGTTACTATGGACGAAACATGGGTTCATTACTGTACACCGGAAACAAAACAACAGTCAAAACAGTGGAGAAGACATGGTTCACCACCCCCAAAAAGGCTAAGTCGATTTTGTCGGCAAATAAGGTGATGGCTTCAGTATTCTGGGACTCGAAAGGTGTGATTATGATTGATTATCTTGAAAGGGGTCAGACTATAAACTCTGATTACTACTGCACCTTACTACGTCGTTTACGAGAGGAAATAAAAGAAAAACGTCGAGGAATGCTCAGAAGAAAAGTCCTGTTTCATCAAGATAACGCCCGTGTTCACACGTCAGTACAGTCAGTGGCTGAAATTCACAACTGTGGCTTTGAACTGTTACCGCATCCGCCGTATTCACCTGATCTGGCACCATCAGACTTCTTTCTGTTCCCTAACCTAAAAAAGCACTTGGGAGGTCAAAGATTTTCGACAAACGACGAGGTCAAAGCAGCTGTAGACGCATATTTTGACTCTAAGGAATAATCATGTTTTTTCAACGGTCTAAATGCTTGGAAGGGGAGGTGGCAAAAGTGTATTGAACTTGATGGTGATTATGTAGAAAAATAAAAATATAACTGATTTAGTATGTGTTTATTTTCTTGGTTAGGCCGAGTACTTTTCAATCCACCCTCGTATCTGACGTCAACTTAGGCGCGCAACACTGCCCCCTCCTGAGACATGCTCGTCCCGAGCATTATCGGCCCCATAATAACGTGCCAAGCGGTCCACGTGGACGATCTTTGGAGTCCCTCTTGCGCCTTTCTGTATCCGGTAGGGTACATCGTTGATACTAGTCACAATCCGGTACGGGCCGTCCCATTTAGCTTGAAGCTTAGGAGATTTACCTTTGCGGCGGACTGGATTGTACAATCACACTAGTAAACCTTCGTCGAACCTTTTGTTGTTCATTTTGCGGTCATACCGGGTTTTCATCTTTTCAGATATTTGCTGGCCCGATTGTCTGACGTGCTCATTGTCATTATTTTGTTCCGCAAGTCATTTGCATAATCGGTTATACTGCGTGGGGCATCAGGTGGTATCCCGGTGATCAGGTCTGCAGGCAGCCGTAATTCTCTTCCAAAGTTTGCGAAAGCTGGTGTCACTGATGTACTTTCATGAAAGCGCTTCGATATGACAACAAAAACGGTTGTATGTGCTTGTCCCAATCTCGTTGCCGATTGTCTACAACTTTTGCTAGGTACCTCTCCAATGTCTGATTAAATCGTTCTACCATTCCATCAGATTGCGGGTGATAAGAAGTCGTTCTTGTTTTATGAGTGCCCATAACTCGGCAAGTTTCCTGGAATATTTGAGACTCAAAATTCCTTCCTTGATCGCTGTGAATCTCTAAAGGTACTCCAAAACGACAGAAGACTTCATGATCTAGTTTATCTGAACGTGAAGCTTCTTGATTTGGAATGGCGAAGACTCTGGCCATTAGTGAAGTAATCCATCACAACCATGAAATACTTTTACCTTTCCTTCCGGAAACGGCCCCGTCACGTCAATGGCTATTCTCTCCGATGGTGCACCAACATTGTACAACTTCAATGCACCTCTACTACGAGTCTGAGGTCCCTTTACAGCCGCACAACTTGTACATTTGCGACACCAATCCTCGACATTGTTTCGACAGTGGACCCAGTAAAACCGTTCTCCGATCTTCAGTAGAGTTCGTTTAACTTCCAGATGGCCTCCTGAACAATCATTATGGTACAGATGTAGAACATCCGGTACTTTAGCTTTAGGGACAACCATTTGCAAATGACAGCTGTCTCCACGAACATTTTCCCATTTACGGCACCAATTGTTATGAGCTTAAGGTTCGTGACAATAAAAACTGCCGATTGAATTACCAAAATTTACACTTTTATTACCGAACACCAATTAAAACTTAAAACACTAATAATTAATCACACTGATTCACTTTGTTTCGCTCCGAAGCTTCGCTTGTCTCGCCAAATTCAATACTGCCCCGATCGCGGCTTGCAGTGGCTTTATATAGGGCTCTTCTACGAAAACATCCAGAATATTCAAGTAAATACGCACGCCAACCGACCAGGCGCAGAAAGTTCGAGTGTGGGGCTTCTAGAAAGCTTATTTCTTCTGTCCAACACTAGATGGCGCTGTTGGTCGAAAGTCAAGATTGAAATTTTCTAGGAAGCCCTCCTCGCTCTGGTCCCCGACACTAGATGGCGTTAGTTCCAGGTACCTGACGTCAACTTAGGCGGGCACACATTTCCTTTATTACAGTAATGCAGCTTACATATAGGCTTATTAAAACTAATTCGTTTAAATAAAATCATGTTAACAGATCATGTTTATAATGGTGCCAACATGTGTTCCTTTCCACAAAAATAAAAATATTGTAAAAGTAAATAAAGACAAATAAAAACTCAAAAACTAAATAATCTTTTATTCATCTTCTTATCATTCCACATCACTCGCATCATTTATATCACTCACTTGTTTCATCTTCAAAGGTCATCTGTCAAAGGTCATCAGGCCATTCCCTGGACCCTCATCATGTGCATGAACTTTCTCCACATCATAGTGGTCATTTCTTTTAACCTTAAT